TTCCCTGTGCAGGCGTCTACACATCTCGGCAGTCAACGTAACTGATACGCTACTACACGTACATTTTTTCCTGTGCTGTGTTGGACCTTCGACGGTAGAGCTGGTTATCTTTTGTGCGACAGACGGTAAGATAACGCATTTGCTCTTGTCGCTCGGTGACAAGCTTTTGTTTAGCGGAGCTCACGCATGGGCGCAAGTCATGTGCATACCTTATGCTGACAGACGTAGTGAAGCGGTCATAGTAGGTCAAGTACAGTTTAAAGTCAAGCTACGGCGAAAGGTGAGTGTGCCGCCTATCCGCATCTCCTGGTATATCGAATGCTATTCCTAGTAACACACCATAATACAGTGAAATGGTTCATTGTGTGCTGTTCTGAAAGCAATCACAGAAATAATAGGTAACGTGTCACTCCCGTCTTGCGGTAATGTGGTTGAAATCAACGAAGTGTGTATACTTCCAGGCTCTTCTCACAGCGTGAGCAGCCTTAAGGCAGGCAAATATCTTTGGTTGGCACAAATGCGCAAAAACATTTTCGGAAGCCGAATGTGGAGAGAGCTACATGAACAGTAAGGTAGGGTGTCCTGACACGCTTTAAAAGAAAACAACTATCACGTCGGTTTCGTGCCCACTTTGTATTGCACGCTCTGTTGCTTAGGCAATCTGCATGGGTTAAAAGTACTCAACCTGGCACTTATGCTTGCACAAAGTATTTTTGCAGCCATCAACATTTCCCCAGGCCTCAGTACGTAGTCGAACTAGTCGTGAATGAGCCTTTGAGCGGGCCATTGCAAAATGAGTCCTGGCAAAAGCCTCCTGAGCCAGTGCGTTACTAACATTAATTGGCTAACATGAGAAAACCATTCATACGGCTTTAATACTCCTTAGGGGGCTGAAATGGATAGAGGGGCAGCTTTCCCGGCTGCGAAAGCTGGCATTGATCCTCTGTTGAAGCGCAGAGCCTGCTGCACGTCTGGACCACAGTTCACCTTTCGTTTTAGCGCTGCGAAGTCATCGGTGTTTTTTGTGCGTTGAGGATATAAGCTGGACACGTGAAAGTACCTTACATTTAACAGCATCCTTGCCAGACACCAAGTGATGTCTGTCTGCACTTGCAGATGTGTGTTTCCATTCCTTGTTTTGCGTGTTCCATGTTTGGAGGCACCCGGAAGTTCTTTTTGTTTAATTTTGGTTTAGGGCAGGTCAAGGCATCTTTTCATGCCATTGGCAATTAAATAATTACAGACGAGAAAAGTAACCTAGGCTTGAAAGCTATTGAAGCTTAGTACCTAAAACCGTGTAGCCTTTTTCATATGCCTCCATGGGGCAGCCCTACTCAGCGCGCATATCTGGTTATCTTCTGCATTCTTTGATGTGGCTGCAGTGAAGGCGACTGCCGTATTGGCGCCAAGCTTGATTATGAGTTTTCCATTTCCTTCCAGATGTCTCACGAGCAAGCATACGCTACAAACAAAAAGTGATGAGTGTGCTTATCTCTACAGGAAGAAGGCAAACGCGACGAAGAAGAGGGGGAAACGTCAGCACTATTGGGAAGCGGCAAAATGGATTGACCAGCCCTGCACGAGTAGCAGCAGCACAAGGGATAAATGCAGCAGAAGCAGAAGCAGTGGCAGGCGCCATTGTGACTGCGCGTACAAGGGCAACACTTTGTTGTCTGCCCAATTCGTTTGTGAAAAAAAATGGAAGAATGGATCGTTTGTGAAAAAAAATGGAAGAATGGATAACGTTGAGTAAAATAAGGATATGCCTATTCAGCGGCATAGGGAATGGCTCAGTGGCTACTTAGCAGGACAGAAAACACTCATGCTGTGACGTTTCATCATTAAATTTAATGTTACAGCCTGCCTCAAAATCAAATCAGTAAAAAATACAGAAGTGCGAAAAGCTACAGAAGCACAGGACGATAGAAACACGGCACGAAGAGCGAAGTATGGTCCACTTGACTCGAGTGAGCGAAAAGGGAGACTAAATCGAAGCAAACGAACAAGACGAAACAAGATCAAACCGACATAACAGCCTGATCTACGTGAAAGTCATCAGGTAGTTCTTCCAGGCTGAACCAGGAGATGGCGCTTTTATTGATGATAGAGTGTGTCGTTGTAGACTTGCTAATTTAGTTGACGGCATTGAAAATGGCGCGATTTATTTATTTCTGAAGTTTAATTGGCCTTTGATACTTCAAAGGACAAGGTGACAGCACACTTTCCTCTATCTTCATGCAAAAGATTTCTGTGGAGCTGTCCTGTGAAACTGTCCGTATCAAATTCTGACTTCTCAACCGTAGGCTTTGAAAGCAACTGTGCAAGGTGCTAGAGGAGAATCGATGCATTCGAGCCAAGTTGCCGCTGCAGAAACTGCGGGAGATGCTGCTATGTGGCTGAGATGGAAATGACAGCGGTTAATGCACATGGAGAAGCAGCATCGTCAAGTGGAGCAGCAGCAGCAGGGTTGCAACTCTGTTTCTCCTTGCATCACACCACACATTTGTGCGCACATCGAAACAGTGCGATTTTATCATTGAGACTTTTACGAATAGTAGATCTACTTTTTCGCCAAGGATGGCAGCAACAGCAAACGAAGTAGGAGCAGCAGCAAGGGCAACAGCATCACAACCAGCGGACGCATTATAGGAAAATGGCATGCTTCTAGCGGCAGTAGCATTGATGAGTGCAGCATTGAGAAGTGCCGTAACAGTAGACGATACAGCAATTGCAGCGCTCACATCAGCGCGCAGCATTAAAGTGGTATTCAACGAAAACTGCAGGGCCAACAGTAGCATCGGGCGCATTCGCAGCGAAGATACCTAGAAGTAGCACCAGTGATGGCAATAGACGTTTTCGCCGACGAGGGTGCAGATGACAAAGCTTTAAAAGCTACAGCACCAGCCGCTGTAGCGCGAGCAGCAGCAGAAGCACAAGCAGAAGCAGCAGCAGCAGCGCAGCAGAAGCAGCACTAGCATTAGAAGTGGCAGTAGCAGCAGCAATAGAAGCAGTAGCCAATGCCAATCCTGAGAAATGTCAATTACCCTGTGAGCTGCCTACAATCAAGGTCCAATGGATGCAAAGTCGACTCACACTTGTTGTTGATTCATTTTATATGTGATTTGCACCATAAATAACTAGTCAGCTTATGTTTCCCAATCTAATGCTAATCTGGGTACAAAGCTGCGGTCTTGAGAAGACCGCAGCTACAACTAAACATCGGCTTTTCTAGTTACGTTGAAATCAGTTTTACTTGCTTAAAACCTAATTTCGAATTCACCTCTAATTCATCCTAGTTCAGTTTGCTTATAGTATGGTTGCTCTTCAAATAGGTACAATACACTAATAGCAAAATCACTATACCGCTAGCGAGCTCTAGAAGCCCTTGTTGCGTAGCTCTCACCCCTGCACGCGACACCGTGAATCCCTATTTTATCATGTTTTTCTGTCCGTAGAACAAACAGAGGCAGCTACATATGAATACGTTTTCTTTCAATGCACATTAGTATGAATATTTTCACGCACTTGTTCATACACTTATTGGCACCTGCAAGGCCATGGTGGTGGGCTGGATGCAATGTTAAATCATTTCAACTAAGGATCAGATTCTAGCGAGGCGGACCACTGCTTACCAGCAGGACCAGGACCTCCAGGACGATTGTGTAGCTAGGGATTTTCCTGGGCTGCGCATAGAAAGTTTATGTAGGTCTGCCCTCAGTTATGCTATATTATTCTTTCCTAATAAGCATATATCTTACAGTGCCTACGCTGCACAAATGCGGCTGACACCACGCTCTTTAACTTCATTAAGCACGTCGCCTGCCTCATACTTAGGTGGGCACCCCTCGCATACACGCGTTTCACATTAAGGCTAGCACGCCACCTACAATCCCTAATCCTCACCGATTATCGATGTATCCTGAATGTGGTGTTTTGCGCACAGCATTTTTCGGTTCGACCCCGATTCCTCGGTCCTGTTGCGATTACACTGTGACTCACTGTAGAACCTTAACTTTCGATTCGCGCCAACACAAGGGCAAAAATCAAATGTATAGCATATTTTATGCTCTAAATGTAATTCAGTGGCCTTCAAAGGAGCTCTAGACCGCCGAAACACCTAACACGCCTAAGCACAGAGCATACTTCGAGGCAAAGTGCTGGGACTGAGGTGAAAACCCAAGCTTATCAGCATTCAGTCTCAACTGCTTATGCCTACCTGTAAAAAACCTTCAACATTACGCATCTTGAACACTACGCATCTCTGTTTGCTATTAGCCATGCCTGAAGTGTCCGGCGTCTCGCTGTCACACTCGCGTTTGCAAAGGAAGTAGGCATCGCAGGCAGAGACCCGACAGGTTTAAGATGGCGTTTACTACCATATTCCGCCTTTGCGCTGGATGCTTAGCGGCAATTCATTCTTTCAAGTATATTTTCAGTGAGACAGAACACCATCTGAAAGGCTCATGTTTAAGCACGCGCTCCGTCCGTGTCTTGTCCGAGTTACCCTGCCGTGATTTTAAAAGTTCTGTATTCATGCAATTTGAATGAACGGCCACTGCGTAAAGTCACGTGTTGTTCTTTCCGGATTTCCTTTAAGCCCAAGGAGGAAGTGATGGACCCTCATGGCGCTAAGCTGGTTGGGGCTGACGCAGTCCCACACGTAAAACCATGTATGTGAGCACTGAACTCCATGCTTCAGAGCTAAACACTAAACATCAGAATTTGACTTTGGAAGTAGGTGGAGATCTTCGCAGGAGTTCAGTTTGTTCCGTTTGATCTGCTATTTGGCAGCTCTTCATTGGCGCAGAGTTTACTCCCTATTTTCCGCTTAAATATTTGCATGAATGGTCGGAGAACAGGTGTAATGGCCATTTGTCTTCCTTTACTCATAACTGCTGAGTCGTGTGAGACCCGCGATACTTCAATACACGCGGGGGACCTGCTGGGGTCAGGTGCCCGCGTGTCGCCCCTGCGGGCACCGCGGCTGCACTCAGTACATAATGCTGCTTAGGAGAAGGCCAGCAAGGGCTGCCTACTTTAGTTCTGTCAGGCCTCTGGGGGACCCCAGGAAACTTCAAGCAAGGGCCCCTTCACAGCAGGCGACTGCTCTTGCCTGTGGGCTACGTGCCTATGGTTGCAGGGCCTCTCTAAATCGGCGCGTTCTTGGAGGGTACTTCTGGAATGGCCCGGATGGGCCTTCCTGGGGGTTCTCAGCTGGCCCCCAGCCCTTCGTGGGTCAGCTTAAGAGGCATCAGATGCTACTGCTGATGCTGCAGCGAAAGCAAAATGCGGGACCCACAGGATGCTACCTGGCACTTCAGACCTACAGAACCTTCCACGATGCTCCACAAGAGAAGCCGCAACAGAAGCAACTGCAGCAGCAGCAACAGCAGCAGCGACGACAGCAGCAGCAGGAGCAGAAACAGCAACAACAGCACCAGCCAAACCAACAGCAGCGCCAGCAACAGCAGCTAAAGCAGCAGTTGCAGCAAGAAGGGCTGCGGCAACAAGCCCAGCCGCAGCAGCAAGGGCAGGAGGAGGGGCAAAAGCTGCCTGATGATGGCTGCGGAATGTGTCCTTCCGTTCGCTTGAGTCGAATCGTGTTGCTAAATAAAGTGACGAGATTTGAAGTGTCCCTGGCAGAAAAGATGAAAATGTGGAGGCAGCAGCACCTCTCCGGCTGCAGCAGCGCCAGCAGCAGCAGCTCTGAGGGGCCCGCTGTAAAAGTGGGAGGTGTGGAAGCTACAGCAGGAGGAGCAGCAAGTGCAGCGGCAGTAGCAAAAGCAGCTCCAGCAGCAGATCTGTACACTCCTGGTAGTCGTGCCTACGAGGCAGCAGCAGCAGCAGCAGAAGCAGCAGCTGCTGCAGCGTTGGCCCGCGACTACCCCACAGCCTACCGCACTCATCTGCTGCACCAGCAGGCAGCAGCTGAACTGTACAGACAACTCAGAGAGGACTACGGCCTCCACGTGACCCTCATAAAAGCCAGAACTATTCAAGGACAAAAACTGAGCAGGAGAGGAGATGTGGCACTGCCACCAGATGCAATTATTTCCGCAGGTCAGAGTGGACTGATGCTAGGGCCTAGGCTTTAGGGCGCAGCAATTAGGGTTAAGGGTTTAGTTGAGGGTTTAGGGTTTAAGCTTTTTCGGCTGCGCGTAGGCGGTGATGGGACTTACCTGGAAGCGGCCTCAATCATTCCTGGCCATTTGGAGGGGTCTCCCAAGGGCCCCTGGATATTTGGTGTGAATACAGACCCCACGAGGTCCGAGGGTAGACTGTGTGTTAAACCTAGCAAGCAAAGCAAGCAGCAGCAGCAGCAGCAAGAACTGCAGCAGCCGCTGCAGAAGAAGGGGCACGAGGAGAGGCAAAGGCAGGGCGAGAAGTCGCAGCAGGAACATGAGTGTCACGAGCAGCAAAAACTCAAACTGCAGGAGCAGGAGTATTTGGAAGGACAGCAGCAGCAGCAGCAGCAGCAGCAGCAGCACCTCGCGCCGGCTCTTGGGCATCCTCTCAAATTTCGAACCCCGCGTGTGCCGAGCCGTGGAATGCCTTCCCCTGCTGCTGGCAGCAGCGCAGCTCGCTGCGGGAGTCCACTGCTTGCTGCAGCTTTGGCTCCTCCTTCTGGGGCTTCTGCAGCTGCTGTTGCTGAGGGCCTAGAGTCGGAAGAGCTGGATGTCAAGGGGTACGTAGCAGCAACGCTGCAGCATCTGCTGCAAGGGGGGGCTTTGCTGGTATCAAGGCAGCGCATTAGAGTCACGCTGAGGTTTCCGCAGCACATGCAGAACGAAGTAATGGAGCGTTTAAGTGCCATCAGACCAGAAGTTACAAGCGGCATAAATACCAGAAGCAGCAGCAGCAGCAGCACGGGGGGAAACTTTGGGTGGCCCCCCAAAGATGATGGGGGCCTCTCTTACAGAGGCAGCTCATTGGAAACACCATGGCTTGAAGGGACGGCAGCTGAGGGCGCGGGAGCAGCCGGTGGATCCCCCACAACAGCAGCAAATGGCAGCGCCGCAGCAGGCCCCCTCCTGCCTTCACGGCGCCGTGTGGGGGGCCCTTCTGTGGGTGTTGCTGCTGAGGGCTTGACATTTGATACTGCTGCAGTTGATATTGGTGGTGCTACTTTTTCCGCCGGCGCTGCGGCAGCAGGGGGAGCAGCAGGAGGCGCTGGCTCTGGCGAAAATGTGGTGGAGCTGAGGCTTCCCTTTTTGTCTGTCAATGATGTCTTTGTGTCAGATGTAAATGTAGCGAAAACTTTATATGCTGATCTGTGGATAGACGGGGAGACAAAAAGGCACAAGAGCTCAGGGGTGCTCGTTTCTACAGGCAAGCAGTTCCTGCAGCGTTAAAGACCGGCCGGGCAGAAGCATTAGCAGCAGCAGAAGCAACACAAAAAGCAGATGCGCACCTTTAGTCGCAGACAGATATACTTTTAAAACCAAAGAAAATTGCAGTTGTTTTTCTCAACTGCTGATGTGCGTCTGCAGGTACCGGTTCCACTGCGTGGAACTACAATATGGGCGCCGTAGGGAAACAACAGGCGAAAGCGATTGTGGATCAGGTGCTTTCTCTCAGGCCCAAAATAAAAGGTCGGCAATTCCATTTCAACAAACTAATTAAATAGTACGCGCCCATAAAATTGATATCTAGAGTAAATATAAAAGCATCTGGTAACAATTAAGGCGAAAAAAGTAGGCACGCCCCGCTATTCGAAGTCGTATCCAGGCACAGACGCTGTCTGTTTAGAATGCAGTTCATTAATACGAACGCAGTTAAGTTTGTTTTAATTAGAAGACAAGTTCAATGAAGGGCATTTGAAACATGCATAGCGTCTTCTTTCGCACCAAGCATGCATTTGCGCATACGCCGTTGTCTTGCAGACATGGAGGGCCCCCTAAGTGATGCAGAGTTGCAGAAAATAGTTCAAAAAGCTAACGAGCAGCTGCTGCTGGATCCGGCGGCCCCTTTGATGCGTTTTCTTGTCCGAGAGCCTATTGATAACAGGTACATAGAGTGTGCGTAGGCTCAGAGCGGCCGTTTAGTGAACGGTTATTTGTGTCGACATCTCTCAGTTTTTTTTACTGCTTTTTGTTTCATTTTCCCCTCCAGTTCGTTTCTTTCGTGACTACAGGGCTGTTTCTGTACCTTACTTTTGTCGCCGTGCTTAGTTCATTTCAGTCTTCCCCTTTTTTGGGTGTTGGCAAGTGGCTTGTGGAGTCTTGGATCTTAATTGAGTATTATCTACAAGTGGGCATCATCCTCTGTGATGCGTGTCTTTGCCTGGTTGCGTGTTATCATTGTAGGATTTTCTCTTGCGAGCGCACAATGGGCACGGGCCGTAACATTCGTATTAAGCCTTTAGCTGGAGAAATCATTTTGTCGATGGACCC